AAAACTGAGAGGAAGCCCACCCTTCCTCCCTTTTCCTGAATCCTCCATCCTCTTTCTTGGTTTGTATGAAAGGACAGAGGTTTCTCTGACCCAGGACCAAACTGCAGGAATTAGGTAAGTGTGTGATTGAGTAAGCAGGATCTCCCACCCACCTCACCCTCTGCAAAGCATCTTCACACGCAGCATCTCCTATAGTCCGCCACTCGCCAGGCCTCCCAAGGAGACACTGTCAGCTTCCTTCAACAGACAGGACGCAGAAGCGCAAAGAATGAATTTGGGTTACCCCAAGATCTCCCGGCATGGGGGGTGGAGCCAGGATTCCTCCCAGCATTCTGTTTCCAAGTGGTCGTCCTCCGCCTACAATTCCAAGAAGAATGGGGGCATGTTTCAGGCAGCCGTGTGGGCTAATATGGGACCTGGCTTGCCACCAACAGGTGAAGACATTCCACTGAATGCCACCATCACTAAGTCCCTACTTCAGTGCAAGGTACATACCAAGAATGGGGAGGGCAACAGATACGGCTTCCCTGGCCTCTGGCTCAGGGAGGGAGAAAAAGCTTTCCAAACTGGCAGAAAACCAGATCCTACCAAGGGCAGGCCCAGAGCATGGGCAGTGCTCCAGAAGGACAGGGCCAGTTCTCCAAGGACCCGATAAAAGGCATGTTGGCTCTCTAATTGGACACCATGGTATCTCGAGACCACTAAGGCCTTTAGAAACTATCTGTGTTTTGCTCTGCTGGCAGTAGAAGTGGCTAGATCCTTGTAGAGGCTCCAGTAAGGTAAGCAGCTCTTCTCCCCAAGACCTTGACATCCAGCCCCAGTGTGAGCTCTGCTAAGAGATCATGATTCTAGTGTCCACTTTGACAATAGCCTCCAGCAAGTCCTTCTCCATCTTCAGTTTCCTCATCTGAAGCCAAGCCACAGGGCTTCTCAAAGAAGGTTTCTAACATCTCTAACCTGGGGCTCTAAAAGAAGTGTGAGGGAGGCTGGCTACAAAGAACCCCCTGCAGACTTCTGAGGACACTTGGAGAATGAGTTTCACCCAAGAGAAGTGCACATTTCTTTCTGAAATAATTTGATAGTGGGATGAGGCACACAGACCCTGAAGCTGGCTGACTGGGTTCAAATCTAACCCTGATCTGCCAATGAATAGCTATGTGGCCTTAGGTCACTTTACACAATCTCTCTGTGCCTCAGTTTCCTCATCTCTAAATCAGGGGTCCTGGTGAGGATTAACTGGCACAGGCTAGCTATCAATATGATTTCCCCAGACTCCTGGACACAGCTTTGTCCCTTCCCAGTCCTCTTGGTTTTTGCCATGGACTGTCACCATTTCTGTCCCTGTTCCACTGCCAGGATTTCAGCCTTCCCTGGATCCAGTATCTGGTCAGGAATGGGATAAAGAAGGGCAGGCACTGGTTTCTTGCCTGCTTGATGGGTACCTTGCCTGAAGAAGCTTTTTGCCTCAGTCTGTTACTTATTTTCTGATATGGAGAGAAACTGAGTCCGTCTCTGTCTCTCTTTTTTTTTTTTTTTTTTTTTTTTTTTGAGACAGAGTTTCGCTCTTGTTACCCAGGCTGGAGTGCAATGGCGCGATCTCGGCTCACCGCAACCTCCGCCTCCTGGGTTCAGGCAATTCTCCTGCCTCAGCCTCCTGAGTTGCTGGGATTACAGGCACACGCCACCATGCCCAGCTGATTTTTTGTATTTTTAGTAGAGACGGGGTTTCACCATGTTGACCAGGATGGTCTCGATCTCTTGACCTCGTGATCCACCCGCCTCGGCCTCCCAAAGTGCTGGGATTACAGGCTTGAGCCACCGCGCCCGGCCTCTGTCTCTCTTCTTAATAATACCCCCAAGTGGAGACAGCTGTGTGAAAACGTGCCCTTGGCTTTCAGGGGTGAGAGAGTGAGGGAGACCAAGCTGAACAGTCCCACTCATGAGGGATCCTCTCAGAGGCAGGTACAGCACAAAATTTCTGATGTTTTCCTTCCACACACACACACACACACACACACACACACACACACACGAGCGGGCGCGAGTCAGCTCCCTGAGGGCAGGGGCTTTTCTGTTTTGTTCTCGGCTCTAACCTCAGTGCCTAAAACAACGTCTGGCACAGAATAAACATTGAATAAATAAATATAAATTCTACTAAAGGAGGGAGAAACATTCCACTGACTAGATGTATTATACTTGCGTAGCAGGGTCTAGTCTTAAGTTATTTTCCTTATCAATAGGTAAGAGTCAGAGTTTATGGCCAAGAAAGTAAAAAAGAACGTGCTTCAGATTTCTCTCCTTAAGACTTGGCCTCTAATTCTCTCAATTAACAACAGGGCCTGTCTTTCAACCCTCCCCCCACCCACACACTAACCTCCCTAAGTGCTGAGAGCCCAGGAGGGACAAGGTTTCAAGGGTCTGTATTTAAGACACTGGGGGTCCAGGTGACCTCCTGGGAATCTGAATATGTAGAGAATGAAGCTGCTGTTGTTCCACAGTCCTGGCACCCCTCGGCTGCTTGGTTAAAGCACTTGGAGATGTATCGGTGTTTTTTTCATACTGAGTGTGCAGGGGCATTGTTTTCTGAAAATGCATAGTGACAACACAGTGTCATTAGAGATGATTATTGTTAATAATAATGGCTGTCATTCAAGGACACATTTGTGACTCAGACCCTGGGGCCAAACCTAGCATCTTCTTTCATCCTTACAACAAGTCCTAGAGACAGATCAATTTGCAAATCCATTTTACAGATGAGGATATGGAGAGTTGACGCAAGTCACATGGTTTGTAAAGGAGAGCGTCAGAATTTGAATGCAAGACTCCAAAGGAAGCTGTTCACTGCCCCTCCCCAACCCCCGTCACCCCCAACCTCTGACTTCTTTCTGTCTCTGAGTGATAAGGAAAGCAAGGAAATCCACATGAAATGAAATGTGACTTGGGAGAGGAGGCATGTAGCCACTACCTTAGGAGCAAAGCCAGAAAGTCAGTAGTATAGTCAAGCATACTGAGTCTAACTCTTCCTGCTAAGTATAAAGCCTATTGGACCTTTTTCTGGCTGTGAGACTGAAGGCAAGTAACTTAACCTCTTCACACCTGTTTCCTCTTCTATAAAAGGGAGCCATATTCTTTAGTTGGGAGGTCTAAATGAATTAATATATAAATAAATTATTGTTCTCTCAGTCTACTGCAGAGTAGTGTTTATACCATCCCCTGCCAACTGTGGCTGCTTTAAATGTCCTCATTTTACCCTTCCGAGTTAGGGAACCTAGAGGAGAAAAACACTGGTTTGTCCAAGAGCTCAGGCCAGAAGTGCCCATGAGGAAGAGGAAGAGTCTAGAGCAGCCTTTACAGATGGTTTTGCAGATGGTTTTGCAAAAAACGTTTTGGTTTCCCTTTTTAAAAAAGATGTAAACACCTTCCCAGGCTCCTCTGACATCAGCGTGTCAGTGATGAATCATCGGGAATCTAAACGCACGCACTGGGTAGGTCAGTCTCCATTTTTAGTCAAGTTCCCAGTGGCTCCACTGAGGCCTCGCAGGAGGGTCCCAAGTCACATGCACTTCGTGAAACCTTAGCTCCTCTAAGCCCTCTGGGCACCCCGTCAGATGAAGAGCAGAGCTGCACAGAGGCTGAGGCGCTCCCTTCCGGCATTTCTCCTTCTTTTCTAAAATTTAAAGCAATCTGCATAGAATTTTTCTCCTTTCTTTTTTTAACAGGGCACACAGAACCAACGTTTTCAGGCTGGTTCTTGCTTGCGAGTGAGAGACTTCATATGTGATGGAACAGAGGAGAGGAGCCCCGGGAGCTGTTACATTTAAATCAATATCTAAAAACAAATTTGACCATCTCAATGTTTGTTAGATTTATGTGTACGTATGATTTTTTAATTCATCCAGAAATGACTTCATTTGTTGAGTATTAACTAAGTACTCAGATGTGCAGCCGACCCTCTGCTGAAGGTGTCAAGAGAGGGAGAGATGTGGGGAAAATCTGGGTAGGCCTCCTGGAGGAGGAAGCACTGGCCAAAGTTCTGCCAGTTGGAGTTGGGAAGGAGTGTACTCTTGCAGGCTGGTACTTCAGCATGAGTAAAACCCCAGAGGTGAGAAATCTTAGGACTATGCAGAGAAGAGGGGAAGCAGTACAGCTGCAGGGAAAAGGCCTTCTTTCTCTTTCTAATTTGCTACTTCTAACTTGCTGTGAATTTAGAAGGCAAATATCGTGGATGTTAGAACTGTGTGTAAAGGTCGAGTACATGAATGGCCTCAGGGCAAGCACCTGAGAGTGAACAGCAGTAAGAGGGGACAAGGCTTGGGCGACTCAGAAGCCTCCTGTGCCCTTTCAGCTTGGCAGAGCACGGGGGGGAGGGGAGTGGCTGGTGAGGTATAAGCTAGGTGCACGCTAGCACCTGTCACTGCACGGAATCCAGGAACTAGGCCTGCAGGGACAGCAAGAGTTCCCCCTACACACAAATAACCCGTATGGCCCCTGCACTGCCAGTAAGTCACAGCCCAGCCCAGCCCAGCCCACCCCAGCAACCACCATTTGGCCCAGAACCTTATTTTAGGCTCTGGGAATGGGCTGGGGGAGTGGAGTGGGCACAGCGGAGCCACCCACACCTCCGGCTCTTCAGGAGGGGCCCCAGGGCCTGGGGAGCTAGAGTCTAACTAGGGTCCCCTCCAGCCAAAATCTCAGAGGAGTCAAGGAAGCGCTAGAGCTAGAAACACGGAAGGAGAGTCGAAGCTAGCCGAGGAGAGATGCGTGAGCCACACGCGGTTGGGAAAGGCCGGCGATCTTACCGGGCCTCAGCTGTGCGTCCTGGCCCTCCTTACCCACCGACCAGGCCTGGGACTCCCCTCCCCGAGCCCTGGAGCGATAGTGCAGCCCCAACCCTGCCGGAGGCCGAGCTCACCATCCTTCAACTGGCTCCTGGGGCCGCACAAGGTCCCGGGCCGGGGGCGGGGCACAGGGGTGCGGGTGAACCCCGCCCAGGCTCTTACCTCCGCGCGGGCATCCGTCCGGCCAGCACAGTTTGCCGCTGGGACTGCGGGGCTGGGGAGGCTCCCACGGGCTCGTATCGCGCCTCTCCGCCCCCCGTCCCCCGCGCCCCGAGCCCCTAGACCCTTCGGTGGCCCCGAGCGGGGACGCCGGGATCGGGAACAGGCGCCGCGCCGGCGGAAGAAGGAGGCTCCTGCGGGGCGCGGTGGGGCGGGGCGGGGGTCTCTGCCGGGCCCCGCCCGGGAGGGGACGTGGGAGCGAAGATCCCGGAGAACAAAGGCTTCTGGGTGAAGCTTCGCGACCCCCTCCCCCCCCCGCCGCCAGGCCTGGCCCTGAACTTGAACTTGTACTTGACGCTTCGTCCGGAAGGTGGCGGGGAAGCCCCTCCGAGCTGGGACGGGGCTGGTGCCGCCACCTGCCGTCCTGGGAGGGGCGAGCCCGCCCCTGTCTGAGCCCCGAGGGACCCCGGCATCCTAGGGCCCCGCGCGCTCCAAACAGCCCTGGCTCGAGGGTCCTGAGGTCCCCGCTTTCCCTCGGAGGGTCGCGGTCCTGGGTCTCCGGCCCGGAGGAGTAGCCCGGGGCCCTCGCCGCGTCCCCTCCCTCGGCCCCACCCTGTCCTGAGCCTTGCTGCGCGGGGCAGGCCAGATTCTCTGCACGTCGCGTCGGCGGCCGCTATTCAGCGGCTAATTGAACGTTAATGGCAGGTGCGGATGAGGTCACCGGAGCTGGCTTTTCTCACACATTTTTCATGCAAATTCGCGAAACTCTAAACAAATTTGAATAAAAAGCTCTTTGTGCCCCGCGCCCCCTAGTCGTCTCCCTCCCGCTCGGGGTCCTGGCTCCTCCCGGTGCCCTGGGGCTCGAACTAGGAGCCCCGGGGAGCGCCGCCTCCCGGCCAGCGGCTCCGCCCCCTCCCCTCAAGTGGCCAAATGCGGCCTGGGCTGCCGGGTGAGGGGGAAAGATGTTTCATTTGGGGTCGTGGGTCTGGGCCAGGGTGGTGGGGCCTTTAGGGAGGACGTGTGTGCAGTTAAGCCGGGATCTGGACAAATGGGGCTGCAATGCCCCCTCCCCTACATCACACGGGGCCACGTGGGCCACTCTGGATGGCCAAATTGGCCTCACTCTCGTTCTTGGTTAAGTAGGAATAAGGTTAGTGCCCAGTTATGCACACAGATGTGAGGATTAAGCCACAACATAAGACACAAGCTAGCACTTAGAATAGTGCCTGGCACAGTAAGTCTCGATTATTCTCTGGGGTCCAAAGGCCTTCCGAGAATGAATGCTGTGATGAAAGCAGGCTTGTGAATTTGCTCCTACATGAAAAAACTCATCAGGGGCTTTCAAGAGACTCACCGCCCCCTGCATCCCATTCTGGTCACAGACATGAGATCTGGAGGCTCACTCCACTGCTTCCCAGATGTGTGGCTTTGCCTATTTCTTAGTCTTTCTAAGCCTCTGTTTCCTAGTCTATAAGATAGAATTCAGTCTTATGGGAACATTGTGAGAAGTAAATGAGAAGACACTGATGGAGGTTGAGGAGGAGCCTGGGGGCTGGCCCCCAATCCAGAACCTCCAGGACCCCTCTTCTGAGGGCAGGGCACCCACAAGGTTGGCCTTGCACTGGCCATGACCTTCATCGTTTGCTCAGATGACCCTAGCTCAGGGCAAGACAGACTTTCCAAGCCTTGTAAGACTTCTTGCTCCAACCTTTCCACCCATTCCAGGGTCCCCACCACACCTCAAGACACAGGAGTTGTTTTTGCTGGTGGCAAAACACTCATACTACTTTCCTCACTCATGTCCTCCTAGAAAAACTGACCAGAGACATGGAAGGCTTTGCAAAGAAAATTTATTCGTGGTAAGCTACAAGAAAGGCAGGGGGTTCACAGGAAAGGAAGAGACCCCTCCTAGAGCTTGCCCTAGTACTGGTGGACCTGTGGGCCGTGGAAGGGTCCTGATGATTCAAGCTGCCTGAGTGCCATCTCTGCTCCCCTACTTCTGCTTCTCCACCTTCAGCCTTCCCAGAGCCCTAAACCAGGCCAGCCTCTGGGAAACACTGGAGCAGGCCTCGGGAGCATCCTCGTCTTCCTGCCAAGGACCCCAAGGAACAGCCAATCCTACAGGAATGCAGATGGCCAGCAGCCACGCGCTCCTTCTGTATGAGGCTCTGTAACCCTGTAAAGCCCTCCTCTCAACCCACTGCCTAGGTCAGGGCTGGGCACAACCCAGGGGATGCCATTGCATGGAAGTGGGGGAGAAGCCCAGCTAAAATACTATTTGAGGCGACCCTGCAGGGGAGGGGTTAATGTTTCCATATGTGGGCGCTGGCAAGCAGAGTCTGCAGCTTCAGGGATCTGCTGCTAAGTGGCCAAACCAAACAGGATCTCTTTGGGGCCAGAGTACAGATTTTAGAGTCAAAGAGACTTGGTTTTTATCTCAGTTCTGGCACTGACTTAGCTGTGGGACTTACGACATGTAACTTAACTTTTCTGGGCCTGTGTCTTCGCCTGTAAAATGGGTGCACCAATGACACCCACACCCCATAAAATTATGAGGAGTCACTGCAGTAAGGCTGTGACCTGGCACCTGACTGCCTTCTGTACTTGGTCACTGTTAATGCTTTTTTCTCCCCAGTCCACTGGCCCCACAGCCAATCTGAAGTGGCTGTAGCTGTGCCCAGGCCTCAGGGACCAGGTTTCTCAGGCCCCTCTGGACAGCCCCATTTTGCCTCTTGACCTGCCCCCTGCCCCTGTTGCCTCCCAGGCCACTGAGGCCCAACTGAGAACACTGCAGGCTGCTGCAGCCCCTGACCTAAGGCAGGTGTAGCCTGATCCAGTGCCCCCTGGGAGGGTAGGGTGCAGCATTACCTCCCAGAGACATGTTCTGAGCCATTTACTCTTTCAGGGAGGAAGTAGGGGTGGGCACCCCCACCTCTTCTGCTCTGTGACATCTTTCTCTCCGGACGCGTGCTGCTTATGCAAATAGGGCCATTCCCGGCCTGGCCCCCACGCCCTAGCAGGATGATAGTTTTGGGCTGTGGCCAGATGGGGGCACTCCCCAGTTCACATGTCCAACACCTGGCATGACTCCAGGGTCTCCAAAGGCCTCCTCCCCCAAACAAGCAGGTCCTCAGGGCAGAGGGGGAACGTCTGCCAGGAAGGAAACCGGAAGCCAAGGCCTACCCACCACCCACCACCCACCTCCCCTGTCCCTAGCCAAGCTCCTGACTCTGCCTCTCACTTGCAGAGGAGCTGCAACAAACCCATCAACCTCTTTCGATTCGGTCAAACTGGAATAATGACACCCACGTAAGCAAGATCCAGAGACAGTAAGCCTGGCACTTAGTAGGCTTTCGATTAACACTAGCAGCCATGATGGCATGTAATTATTAGGCCCCAAAATGGCCCATGGCTGAAGCCACCAGTGACTGTGGGATACTTTCTCCTGCAACACCACCACCACCGTCTTGAACCCACACCAAGTTAGTTGACAGAAGTTAAGCCTATTATATTGAACAACTCCTTTATATTTTTTAATAAAAGTATCTTAGGAGCACAAAAACATAACAGTATAGAAGAGTGCATTCCCCCATCTCCACTCCCCAAAGATAGCCTTCCAGTACATACTTCCAGAAACGATCCATATATAAGCATACTTAACTTTTAAACATCTACAAATAAGATCATACTCCACGGCCTCTTCTGTAATTTATTCTATTCGTCTTATCATGTGAACTGGCCAACCTTCCACATCAACTCATATATGGAGATCTACCACACTGATTTTTACAGCTGCATGGCATTCCACAGTATGAATAGGCCATAGGTTCCTGTCCATTTCTTTACACTCTTAAAAAGAAATGCTCTGGCCGGGTGTGGTGGCTCACACCTGTAATCCCAGCACTTTGGGAAGCCAAGGCAGGTGGATCACCTGAGACCAGGAGTTCGAGACCAGCCTGATCAACATGGAGAAACCGTCTCTACTAAACACACAAAATTAGCCGAGTGTATTGGTGCATGCCTATAAGCTCAGCTACTCAGGAGGCTGAGGCAGGAGAATCACTTGAACTCGGCAGGCAGAGGTTGCAGTGAGCTGAGATCATGCCATTGCACTCTAGCCTGGGCAACAAGAGCGAAACTTATCTCAAAACAAAAACAAAAAAAGAAATGCTCCTCTGATGAACACCCTTGTACATAGTTCTTTTACAAATATGCCCACAGAGTAAATAGTGCCATTTGTTTGTGACCAAGTATATGTGCCTTTTACATATACATATTGATATTGCCACATTTGAAAAAATAGTGTACAATTTACACTCCCCAACCGACAACCGACAGTGCTTGAGTCTTCAAACAGGCATATGATGCTACAGAAGCCACACTGGCCAGCCGGTCAGTACAGGCCACAGAGGCAACCATGGAGCCAACCTAGACTGGCACTGGACCAGCACGCTGTCCTCAGGGTGGTTCCCAGTGGTCTCTCCCTGTTCAGGCCTGTATCAACTGGCGGTCCAAGGGTGCCCCAAGTCAAAAGGGAGTGGGGCCCACAGGGGGGCTGGGTGGAGGGCAGGGGGCATGGCTGGAGTCCCGCCTGGATGATTTCCTGCAGCCATTGTCTCTGCCCTGCCTGGTCTCCTTGGGGTGAATTTATCCAGGGGTCTTTGGAGAGGGGGCTAGGCAGGAGGAGGGTGTGTGATCCTCACCAAAGGCACTCAGGAATGTGTCACAGGAGGGGTGGAGCCCATCCCTGGGAGAGACGGGACGTCAAGAACCCCTGACTAATGAATAGTGAGTCTGCCCTTGAACCTCACTGGGTTTCGCCATTCTCAGGCCCAGAACAAGAGCTGAGACACGTCTGAGCCCAGCTGCTTGGGGACGGCGGCGGTTCATCTCAGACACTTTGACAGGCCGGGCCTTTTCCCTGCATAGCTCAGATCTGCCTCCCAGCTCCCCTGGCAACAGCACAGCAGCATGGCTCCTGGGTCCAGGCCCTGCCTGCTGTGAGCAGGAGGAGGGAACAAGAGGAGCACCAAGGGGAGGACTGGCTGGAGAGAGGGAGCCATTAACTCCTCGAAGGCTAGAGTCCCTTGCTGTGGCAACATTGCCAGTGTGCTGCCCTTGGTCCTCAGCTGGAAACGTGGTGAAGAGTTTCCGTTTGCTGGAGGCCTACCCAGAATGTTCCATGCACCTCAGACCCAAACAGACCTGGCTACGGGTGACAACAACAGACATGGAAAGAAGATGCTAGGCCAATGGGCCAAAGGTAAAGGCCCTAGAGGGATGGGTTGGGGTACATTTTCCCAGGTCCCCTGCCAAGTCCCAGATGGGCAGGATTACGGGGTCCTCCTCCTCCTGGCCCCTGGCTGTGACAACCTCAGGACAGAGGTTACTTGCTCTCCCTTCCTGCTGGGCTTTTTTCCTTCTGGGGCTCTTGCATGTCCTGGGCTGGCTTGGCTCTGTCCTTGGTGAGAGCCACATTCCTCTGTCTCCATTTCATAAAAGCTGAAAAGAGGCTGTCCGATCATACTTCACTTCACAGGACAATCTAAAGATAAGAGAAATAATATGTGAGAAGCTTTGCACTCTGGGGAGGAAGGTGTCCTATAAATCTCATTCAGGTATTATTAGGGCTGAAACTAGGTATTTCTGCCCCCTGGGGAAGGAGAGGCGATGGGCTGTGGGGAGGAGCTCCTCCAAGGTTGTCTCAGCACCTCCCCAGCAGGGCAGTCCTGAAACTCAAAGGCAAGAGGTCAGGAAAGTCAAGGGTTTATGCCTGTGGCCTTTGAGGCCTGTGGGTACAGCTCCAAGTAAGAGGTAAGAGAGAATATCATTGCAAGGTACTTCATCTGTATTATTTCTATGCCTCACTGCAACTTTATGAGAAAGGTGTGGTTTTCTTTGTTAGAAATAAGGGAATAGAGGGTCAAAGAAGCTAGGGAGCTGGCCCATGGCCACGCCAGTCATATGTGGTGCTGAGCCCACATCCATGTCAGCTGTTCCAGTGGCAGAGCTGCCTAGCTGGGGTGCTGCGGAGAGGGGTCAGCACCAAAAAACAGTGTTTCCCCCATGGTTGCTTCTCAGGGATTAGAGCTTTTGAGTCTAAAGGTTCTGGTCCAAGGAAGTGGAATGGGGCAAGTCCCAAGGACAGCACTGCAAACCCACCTTGAGGGCCACCTGGGCAAACAGAGCCACCAAGGCAAACAGCATTCAGAGCAAACGGAAGTGGAAGGAAGGACAAAGGCATCCAGACGAGAGGCTGGGAGCGCCCCTAGGTGAGACTCATGCTCTCTGTCCAAGTCTTGCTCCAGGACAGGTCACCTCCCTGCCCTATGGCCATGCCAGCAGTGAGCTGGGTTTTCATTTTTG